CCGGGTCAGATGGGCTTAACACGTTGGGTTTCTTTTTAATTGCGGGTTTGCAGGTGAACTTCAGAAATGGTGCGCTACTCTCTGGACCCGGAGAACCCCACGAAATGTGAGTTGGTTTGGGTGTGAGCGTTCGCGTAGGACTTCACCGGAGCCAATGAGGTTTTAATACTAAACCTTGGTTCTTTTTCTCGGCAGCATGCAAGTCACGGGGATCCAACCTGCGGGTGCATTTCAAGGTACGCGGTGTGTGCGTGGTAGGAAGTGCAAATTCCTTTGGGTTTTGGCCTTTTTTGGGTGTAATTTTTTTGGAAAGAAGTGTCTCTCCTGTTTGCTTTAGCTGCTTGTAATGTTTATGCACAGGAACGAAACCGAGATGGTGTGTCCTAAAGAGCGTTGTGTCTAACACAGATAATAAAATACAGCAGGAAAACGGTTGTGATGAATTTAGCAGGAAGGATTAGGCTAGTGCTAGAGATTTCTTTAATTTGGCTTGCTCTGCCTTTTTGGCTGGTTGGAAGGAACATCCGGTTCATTTGATCATGCTGTTGGCCAAGAAGGGTGGGGGGAGGCTTGCAGTGTTTGGTATGAGGATATAGATGTCCTTGGAAAAACACAGCGATGAATCTGGGACACATTCCAAGTTAACCACAGAACCGAAGCTAAGCTGATGCTTTTCTGCTCAGTGGCACGGAATGCAGGTGACAAGAGGTTCCACTTTGTTCGATTTGCTCTTTTATTGTGATCACGTAGGATTATAACAGTGCTCTGACTTGCATTTAGTATACTGCCTTAAGCACTGATATTTTAATCTGTTTTTCTTTCTGAGAGTTTTTCTCTTCCCTTTAAGATTCCGTTATAATTAGGTGGATTGTAGCTTGTTTTCTCATTGATTGCCCTGAGGTTCCATATTTGACATTTTAGTAGGAATTTATTCTTCAGGCTCCTGCTTTTTTGGAGTAGTGGCCAAAGAGAAAGTATGAAAAGTACAAGTAGTTAAACTTTTAATTTTGCTACTTGGAAGGACCTAGCCATTAGGTAAAAAAACCAATAAAGATGTGCCAGAGCTGCATATTCAGTAGTGGAAGTTATACCCAGGGTTAGAAAAGTAGACAGCAAAAAAAATCCAGACCAAACAAAAGTTTTGCTAATTATTCTCCGTTCTTTGATTTTATTCTTTGCGTGAGTGCTTCTTTTAAACGGAGTTTGTAGCAAAAATAATAGGAAAGGGAGAGCAGTGCTTTTGCTCCCGTTGTAACTTGGGAAGATATGCTAAGAGGAACCTCGCTGTGCTCTGTGTCACTAGAACACTCGTGAGACTGCCCAGGCCATCAAGGGCATGCACATCCGCAAGGCCACCAAGTACCTGAAGGACGTCACCCTGAAGAAGCAGTGTGTTCCCTTCCGTCGCTACAACGGAGGAGTCGGTAGATGCGCCCAGGTGAGGTCTGGGGTGAGAACGCGAGGGGGGTTCTTTGGCTGTGGCTGGTCGCAAAAAAGAGAAGAGGTGATGTGGAGAGTAGTCTGTTGTGGTTGAGGGTAACAAATGTAAGAGGGAGGAAAGATTTACTCTGAATTCGGGTACAGCAAGCATTGCATCTACTTCTGGTGTCAAATAATGGATCAAAGTTAAGTATTTTGGTATGTGGTCCCAGTAAAAGGGGTTGTAATGGCAAGTTAATGGCATAAGGGGCAAGTTACATCGTACCAGGACCAAAAGGCAACTTTCTCCTTCTCCCAGGCCAAGCAGTGGGGCTGGACGCAGGGACGGTGGCCCAAGAAAAGTGCAGAGTTCTTGCTGCACATGCTCAAGAACGCAGAGAGCAACGCTGAGCTCAAGGTAGGCCACGTAGATGTTGCTAAATGCGAAGCGTTCCTGTTGCACCGTCACTCCTGCACTCTGGCTGGATAAGGTCTGCCGAGCAGGGGCAACCAAATTGTGTAGAGCCTTTTGGTGTATTGTTCATTGGAATTAAGCTGTGTGCATTTTTCAAGTTAAAACATGAGTAGTAATTATTCACAGGTAGGTAATTTGTGTGTGGTTATTGACTGTTTAGAACAGGAGTGGTTTAAAATGCTTAAAATGTCTCAGTCTATACCAGAAACACAGTCTGTGGACTCTTGGTCAGTTTGTATCTTTAGTGCTTAATCTGGTAGCTGATGGCAGTGATGACAATCTTAGGACACCTTTGGAATAACCGTGAAATAATTTTTGTTTCTCTGAGCCATCAGCATCGTTACAAAATTCCTTGTGACATGTGGTCTGCAGAAAGGCGGTCTGTCTGTGTTTTCCTCACTTCAGCGGGTGCGTGCTTGGTAAATGCTCACTCTGACCCAGCCAAGAGAAGCTGTGGCTTTTGCCAGAGGGATGTGTGCGTAGGGGGTGGGTAGTCAGTGGTTTTTGCTGCGGAGATCATTTATTTGAAGAGAAAAAGTCACAAGTTTTATCTTCCCTCCCAGGGCCTTGATGTGGATTCTCTGGTCATCGAGCACATCCAGGTCAACAAGGCCCCCAAAATGCGCCGGCGCACCTACAGAGCGCATGGTAGGATCAACCCCTACATGAGCTCCCCCTGCCACATCGAGATGATCCTCACTGAGAAGGAGCAGATCGTTCCCAAGCCAGAGGAAGAAGTTGCTCAAAAGAAAAAGGTACTGAAGCACCTTATTTTTAGTTCACTTTAACGCCACTGTCAAGTCTCAGGGGTTTAATGCTTGGCATTTTCCCGATGGAGGGGTTGCTGTGATGACGATCTTAGGACACCTTTGGAACACCCATGAAAAAATGTTATTTCTGAGCAACCTCGGTATTTATTATAAATAGGACATTGAGAACCAAGAGAAGTGCTTCTCAGTGGTTTGTAGCGCACAGGCGGTTCGTCCCTCCCCCGGAGCACTCGTGGCGCTCCCTGGCCGTGTGTGTCCCGGTGCAGTGTGTGTTACAGGGAATAGGTGGAGGTGAGAGCCTGTACGTGATGTAGTTAGCACTTGTAAGGGTGCTTAGTTACCTGCAGGTGTTGTTAGTGGAACATCTTGTAAACAGATGCAGAAATTTCTGACAATTCTCAGTACTTCTATCAAAGGATGATTGGTTTTAGTATCGTGTTTTGGGAAGCTATGGCTTTTTTTCCTCATTTTGGTGTTTGCTTTTCAGATATCCCAAAAGAAGCTGAAGAAGCAAAAGCTGATGGCTCGGGAGTAAATCTGACACAACAGGTGTGCAAAAATAAAATTAAGATTTATTGTGTCTGCTTCTCTGCTGCTGTAAATGGTGCCTGGTGGCTCTGCTCGGCTTGATGAACCATTGGGGTGTTGCTTTGGCACCCCATGAAGGTTGTAGGCAGTGTGTTCCTTCAGCAGTTGGCTGTGGCTGACTGGGCAGTGTGATGCGTGTACAAAATAAGGATTAAAATGTAAGGTTGGAAAAGACCTTTAAGACCACCGAGTCCAACCGTTACCCCAGCACTGCCCAGCCCAGCACTAACCCATGTCCCTGAGCACCTCGTCCACACGGCTCTTAAATCCCTCCTGGGATGGTGACTCCCCCCTCCCTGGGCAGCCCGTTCCAATGCCTGACAGCCCTTTCCATAAAAAAATTCTTCA